AGGGGTGCTCGCGTAGTACATGATTGACCCAAGCTTTGCGGTCAAGGCGGGGCCCCTTGCATTTGCAAAGCCCAAATGGGCAGGCGAGGAGTTGCCTGTGGCCAGATGTCTTCAGCAGGACCTTGCGCTGGGCATCCAGCACGTTGGCAGCGATGGGCGGAGCGGGATCGCTGAGAAGAACATCTTGCTCACTCTCACTGTGTTCGCCCGCTGTATTGTGTGTTTCATTCTCACTGACTTCGCCAAGTGGGGCTGAGTTTGCATGCTCACTGTGTTCGACAGGATGTGAAATGGCAGCGGGCAAAATGGTAGTGGCAGGGGGTGAAGCAGAGGGCGGAGAGGGATCGGAATGGGTTTGTTGTGTACCCGATGGATATGGCAGCACCATTTGAGCGGGTGTAGGTGATTGCACCAATGGCTCAGGCGTGACACTGCCGTTTGTGTCACCGGCACCATCATGCGCGGGAGGGGCGATAGGGGTGGGCGCGCGGAGTGCGGTGGAGCGAGGAGGGGAGTCGCTTTCGTCCGAAGACATGGTCAAAAAATCCGATGGTGTGTTAGGAATCGAATGATGTGTCTGTCTCGCGGACTCGGGCGAGGGTTGTTGCTCCCCGCTGCCATTTGGCTCAGAGGGCACCGATGCTGACAAATCCTCGGTCGTAGGGGCTGAAGATGTGGCAGTGGCGGCGGCAGGCATTGCCGCAACAACTTGAGCAAAGGAGCGAGGGCTGGATGGCGTGCGAGGGGTGCGGGGAGAAGCATTGGAAGTGTTTCCGATGATGGGATGTTGCTCCCCGCCGCCGTTTGACGTCCTGGTCACTGGCTCGGCCGCGGGCACGACGGCACGTGCCGAAGACTCGGTCGCACCGGCAGCGGGGGACGTCGAGGGCACATGAGACGAGGCACGGGCGGTAGGGACAGAGTGGCGGGCGTGAGGGCGAAGCGGGGTGGTCATGGGGTCAGGGAAAACATGGTTACGGTCGTGGCGAGCGATGCCATGTTTTGTGTGTTTTGCAGAACGACGAGTTTGGGAAGGCGAGGTGGTGGTGTTGCTTGGAGGTGACTCGGCACTCGGGCGTTTAGCACCGCGGACCTGGGTCCAAGAATCCTCGCCGCCGGACTCAGTGGCCATGTCCGCGGGGCAAGCAAGCGAGCAAGCGAGCGGACACGGTGGGAGCGAGGGCGCCGCCAAAACGCGGGCCGCAAAGAGCGGGGTTGCAGATTTTGTCTGACAACGTGGTTCACGCCAAGATGTCAGAAAAAAAAAAAAAAAAAACATGGGCGAGGGTGGCGTACCTGAGCAGGCGGCCCATCTCGTCGCGAAGGGCGTTGTGACGCTTGATGGGACGGCAGGTCAGCAGGTGCTCGCGGCTTAGTCGCGGCTGAGGTGTCTTGCTGCTGCAGAGCGGGCACTTGTCCGTCGGCTTGACGTTG